GAATGCAAAACTTTAAATTACCAAATTTAGTGAGCGCCATCGAGAGCTCTCGTTTGTCGATATTGCCAGAGTTATCGACGTCGAATGATCGAAAACACTGCGTCCACTGATTGATGTATTCCCAAAGGCTTGCAAATTCATTGAAATTTATTGCACCATCTCGATCCGAATCAAACATACCTAGAAAATATTACCATGTACAGTGCTATTTAAGAAAATATCATCATACCGTTTTCTTTGATTAGCGTCACCAAATTCCATAATGTCTGTTCGACGTGTCAAAAAAGTATACTTTGAAACTAAAGGGGATGCTGATCTTGTACTGGATTACTTGGTTCTATTAAATAACTTTTATTCCCTATGTAATAAATCTACGAGTTCAGTCTTGACAAGCTCATGCATAGTTTCACGGAAAAGGTCGGGGTTTCGACTCCTTCAGTTGGGCGGACGCTTTCTTTAGATCCATCCACCCATAGCAATAACAAACGGTACTGGTAAAAGTCAGAGAATCGCCACTAGCCTTCCTTCAGAAGTAACACTCATGCATGTCACCGCCGTGCGCGGCTGCTAATGGCGCGTGCTATCATTACGGCCACTTTCCAGTTCCTCAGTCTTTCAGAGAGAATAAATTACGAAGGGATTTTACTTTAAGGTTAAGTGAAAATTTTGTTAGAAAATGTAGAAATGTATGATAGGAAAGGTCAAAAAAGAGTAAAAAAGGGGAAAGATGTAAAAAGAAGTAATAAATTAGGTAAGAAATGTTTGTGTCCATTAAGTCGTATACATTTCTTACCATTAACTCAGACATCAGAATTTACACCATTTCTGCATCAGCTGTCATGGTGCTACGTCCCACAAACAAGTATGTGGTCGCTACATTATACAGTTACGAATGCCCCAACCAGCATGCCTATAAACCACCAGAATTTCGACCGCATAATTTGCTTACTTTTGGAATTATAGCGGGAGGCTGAGCTTCGATCTAGTAGTACTTCAAACAAAAGAGAAATCCGAAAGTTAGGGACTTGCCGTTCTTTACAATTGTTGAGATGAAATAATCCGAATTTAAACTTAATGGCTGCATTCATAGGCGGACTCCTGGAGAGGTCGACGGTGAGAAAAGGAACTCTAAGGAGCGGGAGGAAGGGGGGGGGGGGGGGGGGGGGGGGGGGGGGGGGGGGGGGGG